GGATAAACTGATGTTTTTTTGTTGATGAGTACTGCAGATTAGGTTAAATCATTTGACCATTGAGACCGAAAAAACTGTTTTCCACCCGTAACTTTACATGGAGGCTGCCGCATAACTCAAATCATCTTCGTAATATCTATCAAACTATAGATCCTACATATCGACTGGACGTGGATTCTAAAAGTACAATATACACTTCTCGCGAGAAATCTAATCAAAAAGCGTTTTAATGGACAAACTATCCTACAATTTAGGATTTTCCAGAGAGGGTTATTTGTGAATAAACGACCATCTGTAACGTTTGCATTCAACGGGAGCACTAGAGGGCGAAAACTTTAAAACGTGATTATAGGACGTATTAAGCGCTTGAACAAACGACATATTTGGTCGTAATAAGGTCCTGAACAATCGGCCCATTTGGTCGTATGAGTTGGAGGACTTGTTGAAATATATATATATAATAAGTGATAATAGTGTGAGTTTGTCTTTCACTACATGTGAAGGTTGTTTTTAAGGGGTCAGTCTACTTAATCAAAAGGTCTAAAGAAATTCAATTTTTAATGATAGAAAATGCAAGCACTGTCAGATTAGAAAAGCATAAACCACTGAAAGTTTGCTTAGCGGCTAAAAAAAAGATTACTCTGACTGCGTACACTTTTCCAACAAACGTCTTGTCAATCCCTCATTAAAATCGACAAGGTCAGTGTACTTGTCGTGGTTAGTACTAATCCTCCTTAGAAAAGCAGTTGCATAATGTCTTGTGTGACTCTGAAGGAGCTTTGTGAAGTCTGAGAAAATGACCTCTTACATGATGTCATCGTGATGTCATCAGGGTTACCTCAGCTAACAAAGCGCCTGTGTTGCAGCCTGGGACAAAAAGTCAAGACATCTCTGCTGCTTCGATGTTAACGATTCTTCTGTGAGTCTTCCAAGTGTAACACGGTGCTTTCAACACTTCATTAATTAACAAAATAATTGTCAATTCATTTTTTCTGTCTACTGACTACTCGGTTAATCAAGTAATCGTTACAGCACTAACCTCCACACTTGCTTTACACGGAGCTCACAAAGACCTTCATGAGTGTGCTGACCTGACTGCGAAACAGCAAATGTTGCAGAGAGAGAGAGGAGCGATAATATCAAAGAGGAAATTTGGGCTTTGGGCTACATTTCATT